CATAGATCTATTTCCCCATCCTCATATAATATATTTGTATATGTACATGTCTTTATCTAGAGCTCTATAAATACCCTTTGCCTCCCAGCTTCCCTTAAAGATTTATAGTCTTAGAAATGAAACTCTGTGTAGGATTGTTATGAGTCAGTGGTTTGGTGAGTTTCTATTGTGAAAAGGCATTTTTACTGATTAATGTATTTGCTTCTCTATGGCTGATGTGCTCCAGAATGGAGACCAGTCATTTATTCTTCAGTGCTATTTCTGTCAGTGGTTGTTAAAAATGAATAACTGAATGTAAGAATGGATGAAGAAAAAACACTTAACATGAATAAGTAAATGAGGTGTGGATATAATAGTGCAGTTAGAGGGAAAACACCTGCCTGTATCTGTCTATGCATGTGTAAAGAGGTACTGTTTGAAAATCCATTCATGAAGAATGTAGATATGGAACTTAAGCAAAATCTGCAGGAATAAAATTTGGAAGCAATATAGTAGGATATGAAACGTGCCCAAAGGACCAATTGACATAGATATTTCAGGGGGAGTCACTTTTTTGTTAGATTAAGAATTGAAAGAAAGAACCTTTTTTCCCCTGTGCTTACAGAAAGGTGTTTTTCTCACTGGAACACATGAAAGCCGACAGGGAAATGAAGCGCCTTTTTGTGGGTGGCCTTACCCAAGCGATTTCTCAGGCTGACCTACAAAATCAGTTCAGCAAATTTGGAGAAGTTTCTGATGTAGAGATCATCACACGGAAAGATGAACAAGGTAAATATATAGTCCTTCATTGTGTTGTTAATGGCAGACATGACAAGGTCAAGTATCTCTTAATCTACAGAGATAAATGTTCGCTCTAAAAACTGTAAGTAGTATGTTTGATTACAAGATTATTCCATACTTCTACCCTCACTCTTAACATCACCTCATCCATTCCTGGAGATGTTATATGTGATGTGGAGCTTGCCCAAAATTGTATTAATAAAACTAAAACTTCTACATTTCAAAACATACCTGATTTCTGCAATATCTAACTTTGTTTTCAGAATTAGCATTTAACATTGATTGAATGCTAGCCCTAACTTAGAATCAAGATGTGTCCTTCAATGATGACCGTGGTAGTTAAATGATTTTGTCAACTTGAATCTTTAAAGAAGTGTAGGGGTAGAGTCCAACTTGTCATTCAGATCATAGCCTGATGCTTTCTTGGGGGTGTGGCTTTCTTAAAGGAAGAAACTGGAAACTTCCTCTCTTATCTCTGCCATAAGAACCCACCTTTTACCAAAACCATAAGAAACAAATTTGAGAAGGGGGGTCCTGTCATCTCTGAAGATTCCAGTAATTGTCATTTTATGTATTCCAGGTTTGAAAGTAGTAACTGCCCTAGTTGAATTAAGACATTTGCCTACAGTAGGGCTGATTGTGCCCTGTGGTGATCAGATGAAAGTGTCAGCACTTAATCATCAGAGCCGAAGGGGAAGTTGTTATAATAACAGACAGCAGAGTCTAAGAGGTAGTTAAATTGACCTGACTGGTGTGGATATAATGACATTGGCTACTAAGCCATGGTTTCCCTAGGATCGAAATACATGGGAAACATACTAAATATTTACTGGATTTATATAAGTGGAAGAATTATAGAACAAGTGATCATTAATTCAACTGAAGTCCACAAGTCTAATGCAAGCCAAGGCCCATTGTATACAAGTGTCTTAATTAAATTAAACATAAAATAGCAATTGCAGGAGTCTTCAGAGATGCTGGGGCCCCAGACACAAATTTGTGCCTTTTAGTTTTTATAAAATGTATGTCTTTGGGGCAGAGAGGGAGAGAGGTTTCCACTTTCTTCTTATAAGAAAGCCACACCCCAAAGACATAGCATCAGGCTGTGACCTGATTAAAAGACTGGACTCCACCTTTATGCTTTCCTAAAACACATTGACATAAACCCATCAGACTGTCATAGATTTTGAGGTAAACTGGGCAGGGATGCCTTCTTAATATATGATTATTTGTTGATATAAAGCTCTTTCTTATACATATATAAATATCACTGAATTCATTTCTATTAACAACCTGGCCTAACACAGTTATTTCTTTTTTCTTATGTAGTTCCCTTGGTAATATTTTGAAACTCATGCTTAGAAAAATAAAGAGAAAACCAGTGAAAATAAACAAGAGTTTTCTTTGAAACTGTACATTTCCAAGAGATCATTTTCTTTTTCAGTTCTTTTCATCAGAGTTTAAATAAGTTGGTCTTCTCTTTTTAGGAAACCCACAGAAAATATTTGCATATATCAACATCAGCGTATCAGAAGCAGACCTAAAAAAATGTAAGATTGTCATAACATTTTCTCTGTTATTTGCCATTAGCTATCATTATATAACTTGAAATGACTGGTTCTAAATTTAAACTTAAGCAACTATTTCTAAGTCATTCATGGTCAAGAATACAATACTATTCTATAATTCAGTAGATTTAGGTCCATCCCACTTTATTTCAGCTGACATATAAGTTAGCATAACTTAGATCTATTGAAAAGCATGTACCACTTCTCATCCCCAGTGTACTCATTTCTTGGGTAGCTAATCGTCATTAAATGTTTTTAATATAATATTGAACAAACAGAAAACTTCACTGCCTTGGGGTTGATGCCGACTTCTAGTGACCCCTTAAGACAAGGTAGAAGTGCCTCTGTGAGTGTCTGCGACTGACTCTACGGGAGCAGAAAGCCCATCGAGCTCCTTGAAATTGTAATATCTCTCATGAAAAAGTTAGTAAAGAGTGGCCTGCAGTGGAGAAGGAAGTTATCCATACTGCCATCAATATAATGACATATCCTAAATGTTATTGAGATTGAGAAGTCAAAAGGCATCGGAAAACTATTTAAAGAGGAAGGCCATTATCATCAACCTTTGTCATTTTGTTTGCCAAAACATTGCTTTGCAATATTGTTCACATGAGGAAATACATGTATCAAATACAAGGTTGTATTACCTCTGCTATGTGACCTGTGGCAAGTTATTTAAACTTCTCAGCCCAGTTTGCTTATCTGAGGAATGACAATGATAGGGCTTACCTCATAGTGTTACTCTAAGGAATAAATTAAATAATATATTTATACTTAGGATAGTATGCACATAAAAATGAAATTAGTAGCAATTATTATTCAAGAGGATAACAGCAGATATTTGAAAAATCAGTTACCAGTGTGTAGCAGTTCAACCACAGGTCAGTCATTTGTTAATTAGTTCATCGATCATTGGTATAAAGTGAATAATAAAAGTGAAGGGCTGCAGCATTCCAGAGTTTTTTCTGATTTACTGTAAAGAAAATCACATATTTCATAGTAAAAAACCCAGAAATGATATATTAAGTAAGTTCTAACTACTCGCCAGATTTCCAATATTACTTTATAAACAAAAGACATACTATATTGTCATTTGTATATTTGCTCATTCAAACTTTTCAGTAACAGTGAGCTATGAATGGTCAGGAGCCTGTTGCACATATTTCTGAAAGTGGATAAGAGACTTGTCCTTGAAGATACAAAATGATTAAGATGAGATGTGAACCTGCTTCTTCTCTCACTAGATCTTACTTTCTCTTCTCTTTCCTCTGTGTCTCTTTGAGATAAACAACTTAGGATACTAAAATAATTAGGAAACACACATGCTGAAATTAATATGTACTTTATAGGTGTGTCTGTTTTAAATAAAACAAAATGGAAAGGTGGAACACTACAAATTCAGCAGGCGAAAGAAAGCTTTTTGCACAGGTAAGATTTGTTCTATATGAATTTAAACCCTATTTATTTGTATTATAAATGGTTTTACGTAATTACTTCATTGATTTGAAATTGTCACACACATACTACACTATCATATTTTTATCAAATTCATACATTTCAAGTAAAGCTGAAATCTCCCTCAGCTCTAACTCCCCTTACTCTAGACTTCACTAAGAAAGAAATTTCAATAATTCAAAAAGAGAATCGTGTATTTGTATCCTAACATGTACGTGTAATTATATATAACTACATTTATGTACATACCCTTATATTCAGTTTTGTTTCTTATCACAACTTATTTGATAAAATCTTCCTTTATATTATTTGTTTAGTGCTGTTTCAGAAAATAGCTATGCCATAGTATTCAGTAATTTTCTAATGATGGACATACATAATATTTTCATTTCTTCGTTATCATAGGTGGTCTTTTCATATCCATGAGAATGTATCTTCTGCACCTGTGCAATGGTTTCTCTAGAATTTATATCAAAAGATGGAATATGCACATGTAGAATTGTAATAGAAATTTCCAAAGTGCTTATGTTGATTTTGAGTGTTAATAATGTTATGATACAAAGATAATTTGCAATTCCAGTTTAAGAAATATCAAATTAAGTAACACAAGTGATTTAAGGACAAGACAGATTAATAATGTGTTAGTCTGGGTAAACTAGGGAAACAAATCCACAAAAACTCCTATGCTTAAGAGACAGTTTTATAAAAAGGGTAAGTGTACATGAAGAAAGCATCTCAACCCAGTGGTGTCCAAGCCCATAAGTCCAGTATTAGCCCATATGTCCGACACCGATCTACAAAAGTCCTCAATCTCACAAAACACATGCAATGATGCCAACTGCAGGAGGAAAGCCAAATCAGTGAGCATGTAAGCATCTCAGCGCTGGCAGGGGTCTCCACATGGCTACTCCAGCACCGCGTGCTGCATCAGGGTAAGTTTATGTGGCTTCTCCTCAAGGATGTCTTGCCAAGAAGTGAGCCTTGTCAGCTGACGCAGGGAATTTGCTAAGGCAGCTGTACCTGGTCTGACCATCAGAAAGCAAGAACCCTGAGAACTAGAAAGGCGAGGCTCACCAAGCCACTTATCTCTCTGCCCTTCAATTAATCCAGCCAGGTTGGCACAATAAACCTTAACTATCTCAAATAACAACCGTTAGAGAAATTCCAAATCCTTAATTTATTTTCAAGGAGCCTTCGTGGTACTTGTGGATTAAACCACTGGATTATAGGTTGAAACCACCAGCCACTCCACAGGAGAACAATGCTCTATAATAAAGATTTACCATCTCAGAAACCCTGGTAGCATAATGAATTATGTATTGGGCTGCTAAACAGTTCACTGGTTAAATACCACCAAATGTTCCATGGGAGAAAGATGAAGCTTTTTCTGCTCTTAAAGATTTACTGTCTCCGAAACCCAGTTCTATTCTGTCCTACAGGGTTGCTATGAATCAGAATTGAATTGGTGACAATGGGTTGGGGTTAAAGGTAACAGAACAGGGAGACAAAAACAGTTTTGGAGCTTTCAAACTGGGAAACAAAGAGGAAAGGATCAGGAAAGTAGATAAGATTGTTCTAAACTAGAAGTGGAATAAGGAAAAATATACTGTAAAATAAATAGCAAGCAGCCCACATGAATTATGTTATGGTAGAGTGGGTAAAAAAAGTAGGTTTTTGGTTTTGTTCGTCAGCTGATAATCTATGCACTTGGTAGTAATATGACATTGGTTTATCAATATTTGATTGGTCGTTGGACTTTAAGTGGGTTCAGACCTATTGCTTTCAGGGCACTCAAGGAATGACAACCCCAGATCAATATAGAGTTGCTATTTTCAAGCTCTCGTTGCCTTTTTGTGACTTGTATTAGTCTACAAGGTGTGGTCCTCCCATGGTAAATGAATAGCAACTGAAATTCTTGTCATATCTCCAACCCCCCAATGGCTTACATAATTTAAGTTTCGAAGAGGTACCAGTTAAAACAATTCATGTATGAGAGATGAGTAAGATGTCCTACACATGTATAAAATCCTTTGCACACACACACACACACCCCCAAAAAAAGAGGGTGATCCCAAATGAGGTGGATGTGCACTGGCTGCAATTCACTATAGGGACCCAACATACCTACTATTCTGATCATTCTGTTAGTACATAGGGTTTCTGTAAATCAGATCTGACTTGATGGCATCTAACAACGGCCATTAAAATGTTGTTTTCAAAGACTTTGTAAGGATAAGTTAGGGAGGGGTGAGAAAGGTACCCAACAGTGTATTTAGTATTCTACCAATTCATTTTAAAATGTATATATTTCCCTATAAAATGAAGTTGAAATAAATACATGAAAAGGTAATCCTAAGATTGTTTTTCACAGTTTTGTTTTCCAATTATTCAACAATGAAAATTTAGTACTAATGTGCCCAAAAGAAGTCTTAACTTATAAGACTAAATTTGTTTCATTTGGGCTTTTTAATCTATATAGCTATTTCATTTATTATGATCCTTTAGGATCATCTGAAGGGATATAATAATTTGGGTTTTTTATTATATTGATTCTTTTATTTGTAGTTTTTCCTTTGATTTAGACTGGCCCAAGAGAGAGAAGCTGCAAAAGCTAAAGAAGAAAATCCAAAAATGGGAAACACTGACTTAAATACAAAGATGGGAACAATCGATTTGAATATGAAAGCGGTTCCAGGAACAGAAGTACCAGGACATAAAGTGAGTCTCCCTCTGGATCTCTAGTTAGCCTGAGGACCGACTTCAGACCTACAGCCAAACAAGGGA